CACCCGACGTACGGCTGAAATCAGCCGTACAAGCCTGGATTGAATAGCCGAACAGCGTTCGATTCAGTTTACTTTGGGTCGGTTATTCACTCGGCTGCCGTCGGCAGCTTAGTGAATAGACCCATGTTGCAAGTTTATTTAACAAATTTGCAAGTTTAGATTATGCAAGTTTATTTAACAAATTTGCAAACTTTATTTAAGAAAAAATATTTTGACCATATGGTAGTATGCTTATTTCCCAAATTATATTATCTCCGTGATAAATAGTTCTAACTAAATAAAGACCAAGTGTTTTTGGTTAGGTTAAATGTAAATTAAGAGAACCTATACCTTTTTAAAATCTAATTCAAGACAAATTTCTATATTTTTAGTTTTGGATAGAGTGGGGAATAGTTCAAATGTATGTCAGGTATATTTCTGTGTGTGTGGACTTTTCCCTTACTGCCTGACCCTGTGATGACCATAGCAGAAATTAGGGGTGTTTTCACCTGGATAGGACAGTGTTAATTTTGTTGACTAATAATTTTTGTCATAGTTTTCATCAACAACACTTTTTCAGTAAAAAAAGTAGACTAAAATGTAATTAAATGATTTGTGAAGAGATCCAATCAGAACTAATCTCTTTGGACTTACAGTTCCAGTTCAATCTTGAATGGATGCCTACTAGGTAATATGTGCAATGGCATTACAGCCAATATTGTTTTATTCATATTTTGGAGTTTAACTTTTGCTTGAAAGAATGAAGAATGACATATGCTAGTTGTTATAATCAATGCTCATCTAATTACTGATCCTTTTGTTGAAAATACTTAATATTATTGTTTCTTTATAAGACTTGGTTTAACCTAATTTTAAGATAAAGACATGTTATATACAGTTGTGTGAAAAAGTGTTGATTGTTGATTGTTCATTGTTTTGCACGTTTGTCACACTTAAATGTTTCAGATCAAACAAATTTAAATATTAGTCAAAGGAAGGTTTTTATTATTAAGGGGAAACAAAATCCAAACCCACAATGCCCTATGTGAAAAAGTGTTTGCCCCCTTAACCTAATAACTGGTTGGACCACCCTTAGCAGCAAGAACTGCAATCAAGTGTTTGCAATAACTTGCAATGAGCCTGTTACAGCGCTGTGCAGGAATTTTGGTCCACTCATCTTTGCAGAATTGTTGTAATTCAGCCACATTGGAAGGTTTTCGAGCATGAACTGCCTTTTTAAGGTCATGCATCTCAATAGGATTCAGGTCAGGTTTTGACTAGGCCACTCCAAAGTCTTCATTTTGTTCTTCTTCAGCCATTCAGAAGTGGACTTGCTGGTGTGTTTTGGATCATTGTCCTGCTGCAGAACCCAAGTTCGCTTCAGCTTGAGGTCACGAACAGATAGCCACACATTATCCTTCAGGATTTTTTGGTAGACAGCAGAATTAATGGTTCCATTTATCACAGCAAGTCTTCCAGGTCCTGAGGCAGCAAAACAGCCCCAGACCATCACACTACCACCACCATATTTTACTGTTGGTATGATGTTCTTTTTCTGAAATGCGGTGTTACTCTTACGCCAAATGTAATGAGACACACACATTCCAAAAAGTTCAACTTTTGTCTCATCAGTCCACAGCGTATTCTCTCAAAAGTCTTGGGGATCATCAAGATGTTTTCTGGCATAATGGAGACAAGATTTTATGTTCTTTTTGCTCAGCAGTGGTTTTTGTCTTGGAACTCTGCCATGCCGGCCAATTTTGCCCAGTCTCTTTTTTATGGTGGAGTCATGAACACTGACCTGAACTGAGGCAAGTGAGGCCTGCAGTTCTTTGGATGTTGTTGTGGGGTCTTTTATGACCTCTTGGATGAGTCGTCGCTGCACTCTTGGGGTAATTTTGATTGGCCGCCCACTCCTGGGAAGGTTCACCACTGTTCCATGTTTTTGCCATTTGTGGATAATGGCTCTCACCGTGGTTTGCTTGAGCCCGAAAGCTTTAGAAATGGGTTTATAACCTTTTCCAGACTGATAGATCTCAATTACTTTCTTTCTAATTTGTTCCTGGATTTCTTTGGATCTCGGCATGATGTGTAGCTTTTGAGGATGCAAACAGGTGTGGCAGTAATCAGGCCTGGGTGTGGCTAGAGAAATGGAACTCAGGTGTGATAAACCAGAGTTAAGTTATGTTTTAACAGGGGGGCAAACACTTTTCACACAGGGCCATGTGGGTTTGGATTTTGTTTTCCCTTAATAATAAAAACCTTCCTTTAAAAACTGCATGTCGTGTTTACTTGTGTTATCTTTGACTAATATTTAAATGTGTTTGATGATCTGAAACATTAAAGTGTGACAAACGTACAAAACAATGAAAAATCAGGAAGGGGGCCAACACTTTTTCACATAACTGTATCAGAACAGTTAAATCTGTCTTTGCATGCATGTTCTAACCCTAATACCATAAGTAATAACAGGTTAACAGATGTTTACACCAGTTGTGTATAATGTGATTGGAAACTCTAGAGGAATTCGTAAATTAACTTAATCCACTAGATTTTAGTAGACTAAGAGGTTTATTCACAAAGGAGTCAAAGGATCCATCCGTAGCTTTGGATGATCCTACGGCTCACTTTGGGTGACGGAGCCCTTCAGTACAGTCGAAGCGATGGGCTGCTGTATTCCCAATAGCCCGTACAGCAGCTGAAGGCACCCGTTCGGCTCGGCCAAGCCGAAAACATATGCTTTGACTCCGCTGAGCCGTAATGACAAGCGAAGCATGGAGAAAGGTTGGCCAAAGGAGACCGTTCTCCATGCAAATGACAGTTGGGCGGAGCCAACCGTGATCTCACGGCTCGCTCCGCCCAGTTGTAATGACAGATTAGCATCCCTAAATGATCTGGGGATGCTGATCTGTCATTAAACAATAACTGGGCAGAGCCTGCCGTGATGTCACAGGGCTATGCCCAGTTGTTGTTTTTTGCCCGGGACTTGCTAGAAGACTCTGGCAGGTGCCGGCCAATAGTAAACAGTTGGGCAGAGCTAGTGGTGATGTCACCAGTGGTGATTTTGCCGGCATCTGTCAGATTCTACATTATGCTGCGGGAGTTCATTGCATGCGGTTGGGTCAGCAAGCGACATTTTTTTTCTTTCTTTTCTTTAAATTCTTTTGGTAACTTTTTTAGCTTTCCTTTTTAATAGCCGAGCCGAATGCTGCTCAGCCAAACTCCTTCTGCAACTCCCTCGAACTCCTTCTGCACTTGGACTGAAGTGTCTAGCTGAACAGCATTCGACGCACTTCACTCTGGCTGTGTTATTCATTCAGCAGCTTTGTGAATAAGCCCCTAAATCTACTGTAGATTTAGTCCACTAAAATTGTATGATATTTAGTCGACTAAAACAATTGAGATGACTAAAATATGAATAAAACTAAATGGCACGTTAGTCAAAAGACTATGAGTAAAACTAAATGTAAATTTGCTGTTAAAATTAACACTGGGATGGGAAGGCACAAACATCAATAAAACAACAGTCAGAAGTTTTAACCCTTCTTTACTTTGCTAAAAATTTGTTTTTAATTGTATCTGTGTCGCTGTGTTCCTATCAGCCTCTGTCCTTAGGGGAAATAGGAGTTCTCACCAAAAGGAAGACAGGTGGCAATAAAAACCCAACATAGATGCTAACACTTCCATGCTTTATCCAAAACAAGAAAACATTTTGGATGGAGGCTTCAAATATTTTTAGATGTGCATGTGATATGTAAGACATCAGCTAAATGTAGGTTATGATCATCTTATCTCATTCTCTTAAGTCTCTAATTATCAGCAACATACACAATGAACCTGAGCATAAAGAGAGTATCATCTTTGCCTATTCTATAACTGACATGATGAGGTTCAGAGCAGCATTTTTGTAATTAATAAAGTTTAAGAACTATGTTATTTATTGATATATTTGTTTTTTTTTAATGCTGACATGTTCCCTTCTGATTTTTGTGAAGTGTGATTTAAAATGGAAGGTCTATTTTAACATGGGGGATTGTTTGTACATTTTTCAGATGTGATTTATACAACATTCACCCAGGTTTTACACATTTTTAAAACTGACTCCACAATCTTGAATCTTGATTGAAAGTTGTATAGATCTTACATTAAAATAGTGATACATAGACCCCTGTGTGTTAGTTGAAAGCCTAATTCCAGTAAATGTTTTCTTTACAAAAAATCCCTTCCCTCTGCTCCAAGTCACTGCGTTTCTTCCAGGCTGAAAGATGTCCAGCATCATTTAACCTACTTTCCAAGAGCCTGGGCATCATGCACAGGGCACCTGGGGTGCATCATTAAGTTGGGCACACAGATGCATGATGCAGAGAACAGTGCCCAGGTAATTTTGTGGTTTTGTTCTCTGCATCGGAAGCACCCACCACCACCACCACAAAGAAGATGAAGAGGACCTGTGGACATCATTGACTGGATCTAAACAACACCATATATAAAAATATAAAAAATATATAAATATATTTGAAAAAAATAAAAAGGAATGCAGGAGAAGCTTCAGTTGAAAGGGGGGGTCCATCCAACCTGGAGTTGGCATTTAAGGGTTAATGTTAGGGATAGTATTGGAAGAGAGACTCCATTGACTATTACTGCTTTTGCAGTAATAGTCAGTCATACAAATACAAATGGAATACTTAGCATGCACACAATTTTAATACAATTCCAGAATCTAAAATTGCAGAAATATGGGGTTTTCCAGCCAGGTGATGTCACCTGGTCACCTGATCAGCATGGCAAGGTCCAATGAGAGTTACCACATACACAAAATCTTAAATCCACTGAATAACATTGTGCTTTGTGCAGTGTTATGCCTGGACCAGCACCCAGACCAGGTAGTAGATGCATACTGATAAAAATAACATGGATTCATAAGGTATGAAAGGAGGTGCAAAAAATATTTAGATGCAAGAACTTTTACTAGTTAATAGAATTAAGGATGTATTAAATGTATCATTTATTTTGTTTTCCAGGCTTTTCATACTCTCACAGCCATAGATAGAGATGGCACTGCAAATGGGCAAAGAGTTTATTTTTCTCTTGAAGAGGGACATGCACCAAACCCAAACTTTACCATAAGGAATAATGAAGGTATTTTACTGTTGTTTTAACTTTCATATTGTACATATATTTGACACAGTAGGTAACATTATTTATATAGAAGTGTGCATACCAGAATACGATACACAACCAGGTGGCAAATGGTTTAACTTTGTTAGGAAATCTTTTGCAGCAGATTGCTGCAACCCTGGTAATTCTCATGAAAATGCCAAGTATCAGCACTGGTACTTGAAATGTATCGGTGCATCCCTAGTTTTGTACAAAGATTGCCATATACACATACAGTACATCATAATAGTGGATGTTAAAAGACCTTTCTGGTGTTGCTAGAAACTAGACCCTCTGCAATCCTCTTAATGTTTATAACAATTGTTCTACCTTATGTGTGATAATAAGCAATTTAAAAGCTTGGGAAAGTGTACTATCAGTCCGATGTTGACCACAGTCTAGTTAAGTTGTCCCATTGCTAAGATATTCAGTCTAAACCTAGAAAATGAACACTTAACCTTACCTTTAAAGCTGCGTATAACCAATGATTCTAACCCTAGTAATCTTAACAACTAACGTTAACCCTTAAGACTGTCATCCCCTAAAATCTACTATTTTATCGCCAAACATTTCAGACCATCCTGTAAAAATAATAACACTCAAATCACCCATTTTCTGTACCAAAAACAAACCACACTGGGTTAATAGCGCTTAAAGCAATGGATTTAGGTGAACTAGATTGAACACCTGATATACAGTGAAAGAGAATCTTCCATTCTTTCCTTCTGTAAACACATCATGTAATTATTGAAAATGCCACATGATAATATCTAGTGAATAATCTATTAAATTGGGCAGGATAGGCAAGTATGTCCCTCAGAAAGCCATCCATACTCTACTCCTCCACTGACTGAAGGGACAGATGGTCCTGGAATAGGTGACCCTAAAATCTGTGAATGGGAATCTCAAATGGGACCATACCAAAGGAGTCAATCTCTTGTGGCTGCATTTCCAATTGTTTGTGAATTAGTGGGACTTCACAAGCATAGTATGGCCCAAACATCTGTCTTAAAAGTGGCTGCAGCAATTTTGTAGACCTGGGGTATCCTGTGGGGATATGTTCTGAAACTCACAAGAGATTCAAGATGAAAAAAAGTTAGTTTTTTTTCTGGCCAAATGTTTCACAAACCATGAGACATTTAATTGTATGGCAATTGTATGGCTAAAACACACTAAAGTCAATGGGAAAAGCAAAATAAAGGTGCAAACACAAGTGGTATGTGAACAAAAAAGTGATCTACAGGTCCTTAACTAGCTTGACTGTGTTTTGTTTATTATTATTCTTTATTATTATACAGGATTTATATAGCACCAACAGTTTGCACTGCAGTTTACAAAATGGGGAGACAGTAGAGTTACAATACAATTTACAATACAGGTATTCCTCACTTAACGACCGAGTTCTGTTCCTACGACCAGGTCGTTAAACGAATTGGTCGTTAAGCGAGAAACTCTATACAGTACTGTACTGCATTAGTACAGTACTGTATAGCGTTGCCGATGTACAGTACTGAACAGTGTACTGTACATCTGGCAATTAAAATACTTACCAGGACCCGCAGTGAAGATCGGAGGACACCACTTCCGCCGGCGACACGGCGCAGTGACGTTGACGCGCAAGGTCGGAGGTTGATCGGCGGTCCGTCGTAAGTGCAAGTGGTCGCAAAACAGGTAAGTCGGTAACCGAGGAACATCTGTACAATACAATTTCAGTACAATAGGGTTAGGAGGGCCCTGCTCATGGGAGCTTACAATTTAGCAGGAGGGGCAAGATATACAAAAGTTAATCATTGTTTAGATTGAGATAATGGAAGAAGTAAAAGGGTGGTTATGTTGAGATGGGATAGGCTTCCCTTAAGGGATGAGTTTTTAAGGATTGCCTAAAGGTGGGTGGCGTAGAAAATAGGTGGACAGATTGGGGTAAGGAGTTCTAGAGGATGGGAGACACTCTGGAGATGTTTATTAGCAAAAGTAAGCCACCCCATCAATGTGTGATACAACTTTTGTTAATCCCCAGGTCAAGCAAGGATGTGCCAATAACATGGCTTTCGTTTTTATATACTATCATGTCCCCATTTGACCTAATATATTTTATTTATTTGTTTTTTGGGTTCCCTACTATGTAAAAAACCTCAAACAACAACAAAACACTAAAATATGTTGTTGTTGAGAAAAATGTCTCTGCTATAATCACAGACATTGGTAAAATATGTTTTTAAAGTTTAATTTGAAATGGTGAGAACTTCTGTCAGATAACATAGATAAGCTAACACAGTTGTCATTAAAAACCCTCCCCTACGCTATTCAAACAAAAACAAAAAAATTGCGGTTGTTTGTCACTGGGATTTGTATTTTACACCTGATCATAACTAATGTGCTAAAAAATAAATCATAATAAAATAACAGCGATGGACTGTGAAATGGCTTCAAACCAACATCACAAAAAATTGGTGTCTTTTTAAAGCTAAATGATCTTTGCACTCCCAGTTTTAAAACACATAATTTAAACAAATATTTTTGCCTTGCAGTTTTACAAGACAATTTAATGGCCAATTTAAACAGCATTTCAATGATGGAAAAATATTAAATGTGTTGTGAACTCAAGTTTTCCAATATTTAGTGCTTGTCTTTAAACAGGATATAGGAAGTGAGGATGCAAGTCAACTTGCTGGCAATTATGCAAACTGAAAACAATTCTGAGAGTAACTTATTTTAACAAATTATTTTGTCCAAGTGTGTTCTGTAAGATGTTTGTGAATTACTCTTATTACACGAATTAAAACATATATTATTATAAATAGTAATTTTGTAATTTCCCTCTTCTTTTTATCAGATAACACAGCCAGCATTTTAGCAAGGAGACGAAGATTTAGTAGAACATCTCAAGATCTTTATTATCTTCCTATTGTTGTCACTGATGGTGGAAACCCATCTTTAAGTAGTACCAGCACCTTGACCATTAGAGTATGTGCATGTGAAAGAGATGGCCGAGTGCGAACGTGCCATGCTGAAGCCTTTCTCTCATCTGCCGGACTTAGCACTGGAGCCTTAATTGCGATTTTGCTATGTGTTGTTATTCTACTTGGTAAGTTGTGATTCCATTGATTATTTAACTTGGTCTTTATTTAGTTAGAACTATTTATCACGGAGATAATATAATTTGGGAAATAAGCATACTACCATATGGTCAAAATATTTTTTCTTAAATAAAGTTTGCAAATTTGTTAAATAAACTTGCAACATCTAAACTTGCTAATTTGTTAAATAAACTTGCAACATGGGTCTATTCACTAAGCTGCTAAGACCGACCTGAAGTTAAGTGAAGTGAGTCGTATTCACTTCAGGCTGGTAGGCTGATTTCAGCCGTATATCGGCTGATATCAGCCGTATATCGGGTGGCTTCACGTGGCTTTGGGTCGGCCGAACATGCTCAGCATGTTCGGCCGACCCGAAGTGCAGAAGGAGTTCGACTCAGCCGATCCAACATCTGGATCAGCTGCGCCGAACCTCCGGCAGGCTTCTCACTGCTGTTCCGGCTATTCTTAAAGATGCCGAACAGCAGTGAGTGAATAGCCGAATGCCGCTGAGCGGCATTCGGCTCGGCTGTTCTGCTCGGAGGGTCCAAGTAGAACAGAAAAATAGTTTAAAAAGTACAAAAAAATACATAGAAAACTATTGTGTGGAGCTAATAATGACAGCTAGCTACGCCCAGCCATTTTCTATTGGCTGGCGGTTCTCTTGCCTTAAAAAAAAAAACTCTCCCAGGCGCTCTGGGAGTCTCCCGCTCCCGGACGCCCAGGAGAGATACACTGCTTTTACTTTTTTTTTCTTTATTTTGACACAGAGCCGTGTCAGAATAGAAAAAAAAATGTTTTGCCCATAGGAATGCATTGCTAGATTCCTATTGGCTATTTCAATTTGCAATAGCCAATAGTAAACTAGCATTGTACCCGTCCTCTGCTGATGGACCTGATGGAGAACTGCAGCAGAGGGTGGGTGCACTGCTAGTTTACTATTGTCTATTGCAAAATGAAATAGCCAATAGGAATCTACCAATGCATTCCTATGGGCAAAACTTATTTTATTTTTTCCTATTCTGACACGGCTCTGTATCAGAATAAAGAAAAAAAAAAGCAGTGTATCTCTCCTGGGCGGTTGGAAACGGGAGACTCCCGGACCGCCCGGGAGAGTTTGCTGTCTGGAGATCAGTGTCCCTGGTTAGCTGGTAACCAGGGACGCTGATCTCTCTGCAAGTGGCCGGAGCCAGCCATAAGATCACAGCTGGCTCCGCCCAGCGGTCAGAAGCAGGCTGTCAGTCGGCCAATGGCTGGCCGCTCGGCCAGCTTCGGCTTTCAGCGCGGCTCAGCCGAGCCGAGGCTTATGCCTTCGGCTCGACTGAGCTGCTCGGCTAAATTCGGGAGCTGTACAGGCTATTGTGAATACCCCGTACAGCACCCCTTCGGTTCTACTGAACCGAAAGGGTCCTGAGGCGGAAGCTAGCCGAAGGATCGGCTGAAGCTACAGCTAGATCCTTGGGCTGCTTCGTGAATAGACCCCTTAGTCTATTGATTATGTTTTATGAAACATAATATATGTTATAAAGAAAATGCAATAGTTTTAATTGAATAAAAACAGATTCTTAAACCTATCTTTTTACATCTGCAATCCCTGTTCATCTAAGATTTTTTTCTGCAAAAAAAGTTATATCAGTAAAGTTCTCTCAGGTTTAATTTTAAGCTAAATATTATAGTGGTTTAAAAATGTACTTATCATGCAAAACAGAAATCAACCATTATTGATGCAGTATATGCCTATCATCAAACATACATTTCTCAAGATATGTTCACTATAATATTCTACCTCTCCATTCCTGTTTATTCAATGTCACTGCAAAAGCTATTACATTACTGTATCCATAGTGGATGCAGATCATTTTGGCAGAATTTAGGAAGCTCATAATAAACATGTTCTGTGCAAATAAATGGGCATATACACTATTCTAAATAACTGTACCTTACTAGATAATGGCCAATTCATTCAGATTCAGATGTTGATATAGAAGGCAGACCGATCAATGCACAGTTTAAAGTTTTTTAGAGGCAGAAAATCTTCTTTACCTCTTTGTACTTTCTACAATGTTGGTCAACTCAGTTTTTCAGATTTTGTGTCTGATTAGTAGAAAAGGCAGTGAGCTGGTTAGAATAAAATAGAATATAAATAAATGAATTCCATAAAGAAACAAATCATTTTCATAAATACACCTCTTTCTCTGGTAATAATAAACAACATGGAAAGAGGTTTTGACATGTGTAGCATGATTTGAGTAAAGGTGATATTATCTCTTCCATGCTGCTTTTTCAGATTAGGGAGCAAACACTTATGAAAGAAATGTTATGCAGTTACAGTTTTCAACATTTAGACATATATGTTTAGAATGAAGCCTATTGTTTTCATACATAGGTGCATTTGATGCATTTACGACAGTATGCACACATTTGTGGTGGAAGGGGACTTTACAATTTTTGGGATATTTTTACATTTATTTTATTTAACTTTATTTTTAAAACTTTTTTACGTAACTTCATTGCTGTCACATAGGGGGGCTCACAAGCCCCCCTTTGTGATATAGCATTTTAGTGGAGACAGGTTATCTTTAAGGTGACATTAGAAGTCTATTAAACCCCTAGTGTCACCTCTCTGACAGGTAAGTCGCCAGGATCGCTTCTGTTGTAAAGCCGACAGTCGGCTCTACAAGTTTAAACAGAGTCCCGGCGGCAAAAGTCACCGGGAGTCTGTTTAAACAGCCCCGATGCTGGCGACGTACACTGTACGTCGTCAGTCACGAAGGGGTTAAAGAAGCTATTCAACCACAGATCATGCTTGAATAGCTTCCCTGGCTTGAAGAATGACAGCTGAGGAGCCAGAAGTGATGCAATCAGTGTTGCTTTCGGCTTAATTCAGCAAGATCAGTGAGTGGATGTTCACTTGTCTCTCTCCCCACTTCCCACCAACACCCATGATGCTGCTTCCAGGCCTGCAGGAGCATGGAAAGCAAGATGAGGGTGTTGGGCAGGAGGACCCTGTTCACCAGCCCATGGAAGCATTCTGACTGCAGCTTAGCTGCCAGAATCACTTCCAGTGTAATGACGACAGTCAATTTTAAACAGGTGAACAGAGACCTGGCGGCTATGAGTCTGTTTACAGGGGCCTGCAGCCAGTGCTGTAAGGGATCTGGTGCTGGCAGCAAAAGGGTTAATGCATATGCAAAAGGAAATATTTTGAATGTAAGACTAGGAGAGACAGACAGGAAATGTTTTCTGGTGTTTTATGAAAGAGTGCCTTGGAAAGGATTCTTAGGGTGCCTGTTTTATAAAATTCTATATTATAAATGCAAATACCAGAATTAAAAATTAATTTTCTTTTGTCAGAGGCCTGGCCGTTTTCAATACCTGATACATCTGGGTGTTAGAAAGTATCTGTCTTTCTTCCCTACCGCCAAGCATGCAGTGCTCAGACGTGAGCAGATTATTGTCATGCTAGTAAACGATCACATGATTGAGGAAAACAGGTTATTAACCCTGTGCAAGCTGCAATATATAACTTACTCAGGGAAAGAGGAAAAGAACTGTGAGGGAACAAAGGGAAGTTGATATTTTAGGTGGGTGGGGGCCCTGAATGGACAAAATGACTGATTGTCTTTAAAAACCATTTATCATTACATTCTACAACATAATCAGTTGATCTTGTTAGTTTCACATTCCAATTATTTTGCTTTTAAATAATGCATGTGAAAATAAAGAACCTGGCATATGTATTTAACATATACCTTTATCTTTTTTCCCCTAGCCATTGTAGTTCTCTTTATAACACTAAGAAGAGGAAAAAAAGAACCTTTAATTATTTCTGAAGAAGATGTCCGGGAGAATGTGGTTACATATGATGATGAAGGTGGTGGAGAAGAAGACACAGAGGCTTTTGACATTTCAGCACTTCGCAACCCATCTGCTGCAGAGGATTTAAAATACAGAAGAGATGTAAGGCCAGAAGTAATGTGTACTCCAAGACACCAAGATCAGTCCGATATTGAAACAGTTAATGTTTTGGAATTTCTTAACCAAAAGCTGGCTGAGGCAGATTGTGACCCAAGTGTTCCTCCATATGACTCATTACAGACATATGCTTATGAGGGCCAAAGGTCTGAAGAAGGCTCTATCAGCTCTCTAGATTCATTAGGGACACCATCTGACCAGGATTATACTTACCTGGATGACTGGGGACCAGAGTTTAAAAAACTAGCGGAACTCTATGGAGAAAAGGAGTCTGAAAGAACAACATAGTTTAATACAAAAACTGTTTTATTTACAAATCAACTTGAAGCATAACCACAAGAAAAACAATAAATCCATACTTGGAACTCAGCAAGCTGTTCACTTTTACTGTAGAAGCAAGTGCCATTTTCATATATAAAACTGGGTTTCAGATTTTGAAAAAAATACAGAAGCAAAAACTATTTTCCCTTGTGTATATTTTTTAATTGATCAATAAAGTCGGCCGTTCCACAACCATACAGGATATGCAAAAAACTAAGAATTTATATTTTACTACTTATTAAAACATTGTCATGCCAGATGGAAAAAAAACACAGAAATAACTTCATGCAGCCTGTAAGGCTTG